AAACATTTCAATAGCTATAAGAGTATATTTGTCCAAGACACACATAATTAGTCCTATGAAAACATAGTTTATTTTTTGGTCCTATTTGTGCAAAGTGAGTAACGTTTAGTTCTATTTTGATAAGAAAAAATTCCACTTTTGGTTCCGTGACTATTATACCACTTCCACATTTAGTCTCTTACTTTCAGATTGTCCACATTTAGTCCGTGACCTTTATCCCCTCACCACCCCTCGTGCTTCCGGCCAAAATTACGACAAATTTAATTCAGATTTTAGGTATGAAAAAACAAATTTAATGCAAAGAGTGATATGAAAAACCCAACCTTCTTATATAAAATTTAATGCAAAGACTGATTCTGAGGCTGATAAGTGGACTAAATTTACCGGAATTTTGGCCAGAAGGACGAGGGGTGGTGAAGGGATAATGATCACGGGCTAAATGTGGACAATCTGAAAGTAAGAGACTAAATGTGAAAGTGGTATTAGTGTCATAGGACCAAAAGTGGAATTTTTTCATTTTGATAATTAACTCAATTTATATTAGACATAAATCCACACCATACGATTGAAAAAATGAATAACAATATGATTAAGAAGATGTTTATGAGAACATTAAGTCCGTGCTAAATATGTAATATTCTTAATACATTGTATGTTTATTTAAAAGGCACACAGTCCAACCGTGTGGATCACATATATTAATCTCATCAACTTGCATATATTTTTACCGACTGAATACCAGGCCAAGTCCTTGAGGATCCATGAGTTGTATACTCTATACATATGTCCTTTGGAAAAACATCATTGAGTTTTTCGAATTCATCACTTTTTATCCTCTTAAAAGGTAACAATCATAGAGAAAAGATCTTGTCAGGCGCGCCTGACCAGAAAAGGACTCTACAATTATAAAAGAATAGTATCTCTTTTACTTTCTTAAAACTTGTGAAGCCCAAATGCATCTTATGTTTGGGATGTGGAGGAAATAGTAAACTCTTTTGTGTTGATCATACATTATTGGGGCTTTCCTTGTTCTTTCAACTGAGTATATATTAAGGTACATATATACATATGATGAGGATATCCCCTGACATGATGGGAGCGATTATGTTGTTTTCATTCATGCGTTAAATTATCGATTTTAGCAGGTTGATTTGACGGTCTGACATAACTTGAGTAGCTTATTGTATTAGCCTTTTGGCTCCAACAAGCTGGTTAGTTTGGAAAAGGTTGCAATGACAAGAACTGAAAATTTGTATGACTACATGTTGGTGATGAAAGAAAGGGGCCGTTTACTTTGGATTTAATGGTCTGAAGGGAAAGAATGACTTATTCGGTCAGCCATATCAATAATAGCTAACATTTGAGATTCTTAGATACTCAATGAGAAAATAAATTATCATATGAAGCAATACAACTAAGGAAATTTGTGTCGAGTGTTCTGTGGTTTGACATAGTGGTGACGGCAGATCCAAAGTGCATCTCACCAAATGTATATATCATTCCCATCATTCTCAAACACGTCTTTTCCAGAATGGTTATATGTTGTCTAGAGCCGGTTAAACTCTACTTGAGGCCATATTGGGACAATCCTAGTACCTACCTTCCAACCTGATACTAGTTCTGGACTGGTTGAGCGGTTCATGATCCTGGCTGGGTAAACAAGTAACAATTATGATCTTATTCGGGAAATGAATCTATGTGTACTTGTGATGATTAAAAGACGAAAAAATGTTCGTTGAAATTTTCAGTTATGAGAAGAGACAATTGTATAAATCTAATGTACTTAGAATGAATACTTTTAGACTCTTGTAGACTTGAAAATACTTTTAAAAATTCATAAGTAGGAAAATGAAAATTTGAATACGCTTAGACTTTTTTAAACACTTAAAAAACTACAATCTAGACTCTTGTAGACTTTTAAAAATCTACGTTGAATACATCTTTTTTTATCATAAAAACAAACGCTTATATTAATATGATTAGGAACCGGATCGTTACAACAAACTCAAAAAGACCAACACCGACAACAACTATCTCTAGCCAACTAGCACTATCAACCTTACGGCTAGACTCAGAGACGATCACCCATATAAGAGCAATACAAATCGCTAACCACCAAACGGGTGTGACACAACAATCACTGGCCAAATATATCCTTCCAACGACATAATATTTAGCAGAATTTTCAATCATTATTGCAGACCTTAAACTAAAGACATCAACAAAAAATAGAGCAACGTAAACCATAACGTGGAAATAAAACCATGAAGAATTAAATAACTGATAAATCTTCCAAAACCTAGCACCCCGATCGCTCTTCTCTCTTCCTCAGCCCTTCGCCTCTCCCCGTCCTCTTCTCATTTCCCGCTCCGCCTCCACTACCACCGCCGCCCTCTACCCATGTTGATTCGCCAGAAACTAACCCTTTGACCTCCTCCTCAATTGCAGGTATGAGACAACGTTGCTCTAGATCATCCATAGAAGACATGATTATCGTTTCTTGAACCTTGGGTTCATTTCCAAAACCTGCGATCCCACTCACGCATCCTTTAAGATTGACTTGCGCAAGCCGAGAAAAGAGATCAGAAACAAAGATGAAATCTTGTCGTTGCTTTGAGATCCGATGGATAATCTAAAAGTCGCCTAAATCCCAAAACCGAAACCCAAATTCCGAACTTAAAAAGCACTCCAGAAACCTAGAGAAGAAGAGCAACACAAACAATTGACAGAAGGAAAATCCTACGCGACGGCAAAGCCGCTAGGGAGACAAAACCATACGCGACGGCTAAACCGCTAGGGAGAGAAAATGTGAGACCGGCCCGCAAATTACATTGAATACATATAAACTAATTTTAAAAATTTACCACTAATTCCTTATACAATATTCTCTCCTGAATTAGGATTTGAAGTTTTGCAAAATATAAAAACATATCCCTCAATACAACAACAACAACAACATCCAAGTCTTAATCCCAAAAGAATTTGGAGTCGGCTAAGATGAATCGATCTATGATATCGATGCCAAAAGGAGAAGACGGAGAAGAAAGGGAAGAAAAAAAAGTAAGATAAAATGATTAAAATAAAGATGAAAAAATATAGGATAACAATAACACAAGAATATAAGAAAGATAAAAGTTAAAAAAAAATAAAAGAGCATAAAAAAGCTAAAAGATAAAAATAGCATAAGAATATAAAAAGATAAGGAAGATAAACGATAAAAGAAAAAAAGAAGAGGAAAGGTAGACAAGACATCAATCGTCCACACGGATGTACGTCTTCCACTTTGCTTTCTCCAAAGTCATACTCTCATCCAACCCAAGAAGACGCATATCAGTTATGATTCCTCTAATCCAAGTCTGTTTGGGTCTTCCCCTCCCTCTCTTCTCTGCCTCTTCTCCCCACCCCTCAAGTCGTCTAACAGGTGCATCACTCGGTCTTCTACGCACATGCCCAAACCACCGCAAACGAGACTCCTGCATCTTATGTTATATAGGTGCTACTCCCACCTTTTGTCTAATTACCTCATTCCTCAAATGATCTTTTCTGGTATGTCCACATATCCAACAAAACATACGCATCTTTGCCACACTCATCTTTTGAATGTGGCATTGCTTCACCGCCCAACACTCTACTCCATATACATTAATACCGGCCTAATTGTTGTACGATAAAATTTACCTTCCATTTCATCCACCCAACTCTGATTCTATGGCATAAATCTCCATCTAATTCACCATCCTTCTGAATTATGGAACCCAAGTAAAGGAACATATCACACACCGGTATCTCCTTACCAAGAGTAATCCCACTGTTGTTATTAATTCTACCTCCACCGAACTTGCACTCCATATACCGAGTCTTGCTTCGACTCAGTCTGAAACCCCTGCTCTCCAATATTTGTCGTCATACTTCCAACTTTGCTTTAACACCATTTGTCGCCATACCTCAATAATCAACAAAAACAATAACACAAAAAACCAGCCGAACTTTAGTTCTTCAAACCTTCTAGAAAGCTGATTGAAAACCATATAGTTGAACATAAAACTTATACCGTACTAAAATTTGGTCCAATAATTTTAGGTTAAATTGTATGGAATAAAATGGAGGATTTGTAATTTGTATCTTCATTCTTCTTCACGTTTCTAACTGTGTTTGGCTGTTTCACTTATTTGGCAACGGAGACAAGATTGAGTACATCCCCAGTCTAATTTTGGACTAGGAGTGGAGCCGGTGCAGCGGTCCAGAACCAGGACTCTTTGGGACCAGACCAAGTCTGTTTATACTTCCTCCGTTCCTAAACTAAAGTCTCACTTTCCTTTTTAAGAGTACACTGATTTAGGAACAGAGGGAATAGGGAGTACTAGTTTCGGACCTAGAACCGGCCCTATCTACTTAGAAATGTATTCAGTCCTGGTTTACAGTTTTGGGAACCGAACAGGGCAGTTCCGGTCACACTTTCAGTCCAGACCCGGTAATTTTTTGCCTTGGAACTGGGCAAAAAATAAAAATTAAAAAAACAGGAACCAGGTCCAGAACTAGGGATGGACTGGGCCAGGCCGAACCGGCCCGCTACTGTGCGGGCCCGGAGCGGCCAGGACACCAGGTACCCCGTACCTAGAGCTGACCCAGACCAGGAACTAAGCGGGCAGACAGAGCTTCATTATTTTTTGGGACCAGGCACAGGCAGTGTAGACTCAAATCCGGAACTAAGCGGACAGACCAAGCTTCATTATGTTTTGGGACAGGGCAGTCTCAACTCAGAACCAGGACCAGACCAAACCGGGTCCATCACTATTCTGGACCAACTAGTTTCAGATTCCAAATAGGGAGACCTAGAAGCCAAAACAACCACGCTTACAAATTTCCCCACGTACCCCGTACCTCACAGAGTCACAGGAGTCACAACATAAATCTCACCAACATATTCCTGATCGTGATATCCCTACAAATTTCCCCACGTACGGCGTACCCGCTTACACACCAGGTAAAAAATAATCCAAATAACCAAATGACCTCTGCGTCTCAGTTTAAATTTTATGACTCCTTGATCTGTGAAGAACATACAAAAGCAAGTAGTATACTCCCTAAAAAATATACCAGCAGAACTAAAAGTAGCACTCTGACATTTCAGAAAGATCAGTCATAATACATATCATTCTCTAATGCACTTGACCGTTACAACAAAACCAACAAAATTGACAAAACTAAATTGTTGCATTAGAACCTCCATGATATAACAAACAAAATAAAACAACATATGATATTCCAAGACTAATTTAAAAAAGAGATGTTCCCTTCCCCTTCTTGTCACCACCAATCTCAAAATGCTTGCACCTCTGCAAAACAGTCGACAATTGATCTCATTTTCTGGCAAAAAAAGCATTAATAATAATAGGATAATCACGAAAAGTAGAAAACAACCAACCTTGATTGCGTGCTGAGAAACATGCTTGCATCCCTGACATTGCAGCCTCAAGACAATCTTCTTTGTGGTCTTGGCCTATTTTTGCGTGCAAAATGAACAAAAATACATAATGTCAAATCACTCAAATGTCAATTGTTATTAAATTCCAGATTGAATTTAAACATCACAAGAACGAAATATCTTGATAGAAGAAAATCCAAATTGAATTTACACATCACAAGTTCAGAACAAAGAAATATCTTCATAAAATAAATACAAATCAACTGAAACAGCTTATATATAACCATCGCTTGATTTATTGAAGAAAATAAACTGAAAGTATAAGCTTATGACCTTTTTGTGGAAGACTGGTTTGGTCTGTCCACCATAACCCGATTGTTTACGATCATAACGACGCTTCCCCTGAGCTGCAAGACTATCCTTTCCTTTTTTGTACTGAGTGACCTTATGCAATGTGTGCTTCTTGCATTCTTTAGACTTGCAGAATGTCTTTTTGGTCTTTGGAACGTTCACCTTCAATAGAAGTAAAACAACTTTTACTAATTAAGCTTTGATATAATCATCGCCAAAATCCCATGTACTAATAAATTATAGTTTTGTGTTAGTTAGTGATCTAAATGAGAAAACACTAAAATAATGCACCAAAGAGAGTACCAAAGTTTACTTGAGGAATAATGATATGAAAGTTTAAAGATATCAATCATCATAAATTATCTCTACTAGCAAGTAAATATCCTGACACGGTGATGAGCTGTGACATAATTGTAAGTCGTTTTCCATAACAACACTAATGTAATATATCAATGTGTAAATTGTGAAACATCACCCACAAGTGAACTAGAATCAACTTGAAACCTTGGCAATATCCCTTGCACATATTCATAAATACCCACTCAAGTCGAAAGAAATAAAAACATGAAGTTCTACCATGCATTTGAAATATGATAACTTGGATTCGTTTAGAACAAAATAAATATGTTTTGATTATACTGTTTTATAGTTTTTTACTTTTGTACTCCCTATGCACTTAAACTTGTTTCAATTCTAAAGCTTATAGTACAATCTAATATGCACTTCAATATATTGAATCCAGCGCAAGAAATACAGTCAATGAATGAATGCGAAAATGTAGAAACTATATAAAAGAGCATAAGAAATAGATTCCCCGTCCAGAAGTAAACAATCGAACCATGACATCGAGCTCATACGCAAATAAAACCCTAGGTCAAGTAAAATTCACAACGCTTTGACCAGAAGACCGAAGAATTGAGCAGGACGGTATACACAACAACAAGTTCATTAAAATCTAAGATATGATGAGAGATTTACCATGGCGGCAGGAGATCGAGCAGAGAGCTTTGAATCGGTAGCTGAACGCCGCACTACGTCGATTGGTTCAGCGGACAATATATTGGGTGGGAGAGTGGGCGAGCCCATGTATAAGTCGTATGGGCCAGTTGGGGCATGGTAACCTTTATTGGACCCAAGCTAAACCTCAAATACACGATTTAAACTGATATTTTTTATATGATCTTTTTATATGAAGACAAAAATATGACTTGTTTTGAAGTTTTTAAATTATGTCGGTTAATTTAATATTGCATTTACTATAGTGACATTAATTTTTAATAATTAATAGTTTGTCAATATTGTCCAGCCACCCCAACATTCGTCACCAACACAGTCGCCACTATCATTGTCAACACCACTAACACAGTCGCTAGTACCTCCTCCACTATCGTTAGTGACCATGAAATCACCAACTTAAACCTCATAGTGATTGTATAACTATTAATCCTGACATTGGTTCCAATGACGTCGTCGATAATCACTAATGGCAGTCACTGGGTTTCATGGGATTTAATGAAACCCTGTCACCTTGAGTGTCCATCGAAAACCATGTTAGTGGTCATGTGTAGGATACTAATGGATCCCTAGTCACTGACCGTCCCCATCACAACCCCTAGTTAATAACGGGTATAACGTTGTCATCACTAAATGTAGTCACCGCCCCACGATGTCAGTGAACCCTAGCCGTCGCCCACAGTGTCATTGAAACCCAATGGTGTCGCTAAAATCCTATCCACCGCTCATGATGTCTCTCAAACCCTAGCCACCGCTCATGATGTCATTAGTCGACGGCTCATCACAAGGTAAGGGTGGTCGTCGTGTAAACCGAGTGGTGGCCGTCGTTGGAGGTTGACGCCATCTATAGTTATCGTCGGATCGGCACAAGATAATTCTTCCTTCGTACCGAAACCCTGTGATTTTTACCATCATTGTGCGAGAAGGTGAGGAGAGAAGGTGACTGAAGGTCGCGGGAGCAAACCAGGTATTGTGGTATAATCGTGTATGATCAAGAATATCACCTTATAAAGTTTTTTATCTAGTCTCCATATGATAGTACCCATTTCGTTTAAACATTAAACTCATTTTAAGTATAACATAAAGTTCCATATTTGACATGTAATAAACACATCACAATTAAAATTAAAAAAATATCTATTATTAAGTTGATTTAATATTAAAAAATCATTAGAAAAACATATTTCAACCATATTTACAAAATCTTCAAAGACCACTCTCAAAGAATAATTAAAAAATATTTAAAATTTCTCAAGTGTAGAAATAGAAAAGTTAAGCAAAAACTATTATAAACGAAAACTTATTATGCATAACAAAGTATGCACATGTTAACATTGAACACTTGTGCAACAAGTAATAAAATATATCATCAAAAAACAAATTAATATTCACTTTGGCATTTTTCGAACACTTGATGGACATTAAATTTTTATGAGTAAACTGGAAAAACAATTGTATTATTATTGATTGACATAGAGAGTTGTTTTTAGTCATATCGTTATCCGTTGAGTTATATTATACCGGCCTACTACTGATTAGAGGCCCAAGACGGACCCAAACAATGAGGTCCATTTCGGCTCACCCGGTCCGCTTTAGCCCATGCGGTCCATTTACACCCACTTGGGCTATTAGGGTAGCTTTGCACCTTTCCCCCTCCTCCCTATTAATAGGAGGCTTCCCCTCCATGTTAGGGATTGGCCCTCTCTTCTTCTTCCCCATGCTTACTTATCTCTAGATTAGCTCAAATACTCCATCAATGGGTGCTCAAGTTGTACATTGTAATGGTGAGGAGAGTATTAATGAGAATGAGCGTGGCTTGGACATTAGCCCAAAAAGTTACGTGGTTTTCTCCCTTTCGGATTTCCACGTAAAAATAGGGAGTTCATACACCTTTATACTTATATTTATTATATCGTGTTGGAATAAAATCAACATTATCTGTTTTGATATTTTTTAATTCACAGTAGAACTAACATTCGGTGAAGTCAGGGAATATGCAAGAAAAGAAGCACAAAAGAAACAAATAGTCTAACTATTCTACTATAAGTTCAACTTTATTATAAAAACGGTTGTACCATGTCTTTGATACAACCGGTTGTATAATATAATTTGCGAGTGATGTACCATTGATGTGTGCAATGCACAATAGGCATGAATGTAATACATCTATATATTGAATTATATTTTTCAATGAAGTCTTTTTCTGTGTGATATTTTTGTTCCTTTTGTTTAGAACTCAATTTAAATATGACTACAATGAGCATAGATTCATCACTTTGCTTGAAATCAATACTTGGACTTTAATTTCATAACATGTTCTAATTCATTTTTAAGTCCTTCTATTATGTATCTCATTGTTGTGGTGAGGAAATTGCATATATTGCTCAATTATAGCTACTTCAATTTTTTGTGTATTCAAATTCAATTTTTTCAATTTAGTCAAACATCACTTTTGTGGTATTTTCTATAAAAGATTACAAAATAGTTTTAGCATCATGATTGATAGAGTTTATGGGCCCAGACCCCATGACCCACATACTCACTAAGGAAACACAGTCGTCCGTCCCCAACACGCCCAAGACAACGGGATATTCTTGCGATCATACAGGGGACGTACGTATCCTTACATAGGCAAGCTAATTAATGGGGACGAACGGCTCCAGAAGCTCCAGAAGGCTCCCGGGGGCGTACATAGGTCTTATAGTCCATCATCCAGGGGATGTACGTTCCTAGCGGGCCCAGTTAACTATCAGCCAGAGTTCCCAGACGCCAGACATTCGTCCTCATGACCTTCGTCTGCCACAACTCCGTCAGCCAGACGTTCATCCCCAAGACATTCGTCTGCCACAACTCCGTCAGACATACGTTCATCCTCAAGACCTTCGTCTGCCACAACTCCATCAGCCAGACGTCCGTCCCCAAGACCTTCGTCTGCCACAACTCCGTCAGCCAGACGTTCGTCCTCAAGACCTTCGTCTCCCACACCTCCGTCAGCCAGACATTCATCTCCCAAACCTCCATCAGCCATACGTTCGTCTCCCACACCTTTGTCTGCCACACCCCCGTCAGCCAGACGTTCATCGTCCACAAGAAGACTTTGTAGAGACAGATTCATACTTAGTCAAATTCTATATACAGAGCCCAATAGAGGCCTTATATTGTAATGGGCCTCCCAAACCCAAGACTTGACAGCCCAACCCACTTTTCTCCTATAAATACTCCCCCTTGGGAGTCATGTAAAGGATTGGAAATTCATTAATACATATCACTTCTCTCTATAGCTCTCCCTTCTCTCTAAGAGTTAATACTCTATCAATAATCAAGAATATCATGATATAGCCTCTCATCCCCGCCTCTCCTCTCCACCTCTCAAGTTGTCTAACAGGTAAATCACTCGTTCTTTTGTGCACATGACCAAACCAACGCAATCAAGACTCTTGCATCTTATCTTTTATAAGTGATACTCCTACCTTTTGTCTAATGATATCATTTATCAAGCGGTCTTTTCTGATATGTTCGCATATTCAACACAACATACACATCTCTGCCACACTCATCTTTTGAATGTGACATTGTTTCACCGGCCAACACTACACGTCATACATTAATGCAGGCATAATTGTTGTCCATTACAATTTACCTTTTGGTCTCGTCGGCATACCTCAGTCACTATCACTAAGAAATCATGATGCACTCTTCCATTTCATCCACCTTACTTTGATTCTGTAGGATACATCTTCATCTAATTTACCATCCTTCTGGATTATGGAACCCAAATAACGGAACACATCTCACACCAGTATCTTCTTGCAATCAAAGGTAATCACACGGTTACTACTGCTTCTACATCCACCAAACTTACACTTCATATACTCAGTCTTGCTTCGGTTCAACCTGAAATCCTTGGTCTCCAATGTTTGTCATCATACTTACAACTTTGTTTTAACACACGATTGTGTCTCATCAATCGATACAATATCGTCGACGAAAATCATGTACCACAGTATATCTTTTTGAATTGATTTCGTAAGTTCATCCCTGATTATAGCAAATAGGGGTGGGATTTTGGAACCGGGAACCGTTAAATCGGTTGGAACCGAACCGTTATAACCCGATTCGGTTCGGTTCCTACAAATGAGATATTAGTTGTTAACGATTCGGTTCCTGGTTCCTATAAAAAATATATGCACGGAACCGTTAAGGAACCGATATTAAAAATATAAAAATAAAAATAAAAATAATAGTAGTAGTATTAGTAGTAATACTAATATAACAAAAATAAACACAACAACAACAATAATAACAAATGAATGATATTTAGCCAATAATTTTAATTTAGTTTAATATATAAAAACAAAAATAATAAATATTTGCACATGAGGTTGAATACATTAAGCTCATTTTTACAAATCAAGTTTTGTTCCATCAATAGGATGTACATGCAAACTCAATGTATTTGTAGGTTTTGAGAGGCATAAAGTGTACGTCCTATCCTTGCCACTATAATGATGAGCAACCTTCATTTCAACGACATAACGAACGATTTTTATATTTTATGTATTAAATGAAAATTAAAATCTTCTTTTTATTCTATTAAGTGTTCACTTAAGTCCGAGCTTTTGATGTTTGGAGTGATTAGAACTCTAAATAAATGTTTATGACTTGTTTTGACTTTTTGACGTTTTCATGTGGTAGAAGCTAAACTATGTGTTAATTCTTACACGAAAAAAATTATTCTAGGAACCGATAAAAGCAAGAACCGAACCGTTTAGTATTGGTTCGGTTCCATATCGGTTCTTGATTTTTTATATAGGAACCGAACCGATTTCATTTGTTAAAATTTAAATAACGGTTCCACTATTTTTGAGTAAGAACCGAACCGGTCCCAGGCCTAATAGCAAACAGGAAAGGACTCCGAGCCGATCTTTGGAGCACTCCGATAGTAATACGGAACACTGTGGTCCTCCCTACACTAGTACAAACACTTTTAGTCCAAGCCTCATACATATCCATGATGATACTGATATACTTACGTGATATGTCGTTTCTAGTTAAGGCTCACCAAGAACTTCTCGATGTACTCTATCATATGCCTTTTCTATG